GAACAGGTTCAGTTAATGAAATACTGGGAGTACCAGGAATGGGTAGACTGTGCAATTCACATTCATCTCTCATTATGATCACAGGGTATTTATCTGTACATGTCTGCATTTTACCCAACTCCTCAGCAAGTGGGCGAACGAAAACCAATTATTTTGTCCTTTTCTATCATGCTCAGCATCCTCATGCACGGGCGATGTTGGTTTGTCTGTTTGGATTTGTTGAAAGCGTTACATTCAGTGTGTGTCACCTGTATGTTACTGAACAGTCAACATTTATATTTGCAATAGATTTTGAGTAATCACTAAAAATGGAACGTAGATTTAGAAACGACACTGCAAGCTGATTATTCTGACACCCATTCTAACATGTCATAAAAGCTTATACAGATACAAGAACCCAGAAAACTAACTTAAACTTGACTTTTAAATAAAAAACTCACTGGAAAATACATTTTGCAAAATGATAGAAATCCTAAACTTTGGTTGCTTCTTCCATTACTAATATTTTTTGCAGGAATACGAACTATACTTTACACGTGTCTTCTGCTTGGCTCAACATGATGTAGGTGATCTGGTCAATAAGCTGTGACATGTACATTTACACGTTGAATTACTCAATATGTGGAAAATCCCCACATGCCACTTGGCTGCTGGAGTGTCATGTACCGTATGACCCGGACTTTGAACTTGACGTTAGCACTAGCACCTAATAAAGCCACTTGTCACTACAGACCAGCGTCGATGCCCAGCTCCATATCTCCCACCCACACAGTTACTAGACAAGTTACGTTAGTGAAGGAAAAGTATTTAATAAGTATTATTAATCATGTACATAAGGCAGCAGGTGCTTTATGTGTGACTCTTGTCATGACATCAAGTTCATCATAGGGTGTAAGATTTGCACACATCTTACATATATTTCATCACTACTCTAGGTTCTCACCTATAATAACACATCATTAATGCTCATTCTTACATGTAGGCCATCTGAACTCTTTGTAAGAGTAAAAGTGAAATGTTCACAATTCATGTTTTGAGGTCATCGTTTGGAGGTTTTGTTGTTTAGCACAAGTTTCCCTTTGAACAAATGATCAGCCCCACATACGTAAAAGCAAAACAGGTTAATCTGCCTGATAGTGACATTACTCATCAGGAGCCAACATGACCGCACAATTTCATTGATCATTTTTTCCTATTCACTCAAAGGTTTGAAAACATCAATAAAAACATCTTTACAGTTTGATATTCATACTCTGTAACGTTAATGGCATTTTTAAAAAAACCTCAACTGTTCTTAGTGTTTTCTTTTCTTTCTTTTTTCTTAAAAAAAGACTTAATTCAGACGGTTTCTTCACTGTGAAGCTCTGGAGGAGCGTCAAGCAGCTCGAACATGTCATCAATGACTTGCCACAGGCAGTTCTCAAGAGGGAAGTCATTGTCCACCAAATTGACGAGGAAGTAATTGTCATGGATATATTTAATTATCATCCGAGAAGGAGACTCGTCTTCATAGAGTTTGCCCCACTGCTCAATCCACAAGGCAAACGCCTCATCCTGAGAAAATATGAGAACATCTGGGTCAACACAACATGCCAGAGCTTTTACGTCACACTGCACTCTCTCTTTAAAGTTAAAGATTATACAAAAATACAGAGAAAACGAACAATCAGATAAGCCCGTATGAGCGAGCAGCTAGTGACAGTGGGAAGGAAAAACTCCCTTTTAACAGGAAGAAACCTCCAGCAGTACCAGCAGCAAGGAGGGGCGGGGCCATCTGCTGCAACCGCTTGGAGCTGGTTCCAGAGTTCCGCCTCCTACTCTACCATTAAACGCAGTCATACTTTATTATTACCCTTTTAAACCTTGAATATTTCAGTCATTTAAAAACACGACACAAGGTTTAACATTCCCCAAACTGTGGACAGAAAGAAGACAGTGTCTCACCTTCCAGTACATGAAACTAACTGGGTCCACTACAGTCGGCTGAACAATCTCCCTTCCGGCGAAGATCCCCCAAGTCACAGCATTTGGTTGCATTTCAGGGGCGTTGGTCAGGTTACGGCCCTGCATGCAAAATATTCACCATGACCAATGTTTACACACACACACACACACACACACAACCATGGAGTGACTGATGCTTTGTGAACAAACTTACATTCACATTAACAATGTGATAATTCACACGGGGCTCGTACTTCTTCAGTACTTTAAGAAGAGCGGTCACATTTTCACTGGAGGTGAAAAATTCCAGATAGGCCTGTTGGTTGAATAACATCCATATTAACAATAGCAGACTCTGAGTATCCCATCTGAAGGTACTGAAAATACTGTTAGTGTTTGTACCTTCTGGAAGACATAGCCCCCTGGAGGTCCCCAGCCCACAATGGGGTCTGTGGAGGGTTTGCCATTGATGTTGGGCTGAGAATTGATGGTGAGGACTCCTCGCCTGTTCACTTTCTCCAGTTCATCCTTCAGAAGGTTGGTCTCTGGGGCCAGAGGCTCGTCATTCCATGGCAAACACTTCACCTATAGCAGAAGAGAAAGCCTTAGCCTGCTGTTATTGCTGCTATATACAGAAGACTTGCTGTGGATGAACGAGTGGCTACGTGGGGTATGGTTAAAAACAAAAACCTGTACTCAGAGTGAGTGTCAGTGTTTCCAGTGCACTCAGGACAGGATTCATTTAACATTTAACTGGAACATACAGTAGACAACAGCTTGGTATACTTAAACCAAGGACAGATATAGGAAATCTGTGGTACCACAAGCTGGGAAAGCCACGAGTGACCGAGCTCCGTGGTTCATCCTGGATACCTTGTGTCCGCAGCGATTTGGCTGAGCTGTAATGTAGCAGGTAAAGACTTCGAAGACGCTCCCTTCATTTTGTAGCTCTTCACCCCACATTTGCAGCAGTGCATCTTTAGATGATTTGCTCTTCAGGTAGAACAGGTAATAGTCATTCAACTCCCCAAAAGCTGGAGATGAGGAATTTCCCCTGAGGACGAAAACAAGACTCTGAGCTAAAGTTCAATAAAAGCTGAACGAGGTTCCAGAAAGTGATTAGATTAAAAAACAAGAAACAATAATAATACAATTAAGCGCGTGTACACATTTTATAGTGTCAATGTGAGCGCTCGAGCAGAGTAGAGAACAACCAGTCCATCTGAAGAACCTTTTTTTTATTTTTTTTTTTTTTTTTTTTAGAACAAATGAGTCACATATTTAACCTCCTAGGACCTGGCGTCCACATGTGTAGGAATCACATTTTCGGTTGTCTAGACCAAAATACTAAATTTTGCTCTACAAGGGCCTGATATCCACTTACGAGGACATAAACTGCCTCTGTTCTATTGAAATTTTAAACAAGTATCCTCATATTTGGATCTCTTTTCTCAGAAACAAAAATCAGGTTAAAAAAAAAAAAGAAAAAAGAAAAAAAAAGGTAACTCTTTGTTTTTACATTCATCAGGTCCCAATCAGCCCAAATATCAAAGAGAAATTAAAAATGCATGCTATGAAAGCGTTTGTGTCTTAGGAGGTTAAAGGAGAAATGCATAAACAAGCAAGCAGCAGGGTCTCCTGATGGTGAGCTTTTGAGCAACAGCGAGCCTAAAACCTGCATCATACTTCCCACGTCTGCCAGCTTCCACTCAGCTCAGAGTGATGGCAGTTTTCTTGTTAACACACAGTGAATACAATGGTTATGAGGACATCAGTGTGTTTGCCCGTTTATTACCGAAAAAGAAAAACTGCAGCTACAAGAACACACATTAGAAAACTTATCACATAGAACAGCTGTTAATGTAACTCCAGTATGCACTTAACAGAGTGAAAGGCTGCAGATGAAGGATGATCCCTGTGGACAACAGCACAACTCACAACTCGTATGCAAATTCTTACATACACTTATGCAATAATTTGCATAAATTGAGGCATTCAACAAGAACAGCCCTGATTTAATGTCTGAAATGTAACGATGAGGACATCGTGATAAATGAAACCTACCATCTGCCATTGGGGAAGTCGTCCCAGTCCTGGGTTCTGTAGATGTAGCTCTTGGGTCTGGAAGCCCAGAAGATGGGTCGAACATC